CGCCGAAGCGAGGCGAGCGCATGAAAGCAAGCCACCTATTCAGGAGTCATGCTTAGCACTGCTTCTTTGCTCCTGACACCTCCTGAGCACTGCTTCCCGCAATTGCATTCCACTACAGCAGTATGCAATGAACACCTCCACACTTCACCACCAATCCTTAAGATGGGGTGGTCTTCCGAGCCAAAGCGGTCAAGCACGGTTTCCTGAATTCCAACCCCCTTCCCCACAACCTGAACTCGCCTCATCCCAGCACCCGTCCGTCTACAACTGCGCGGACTGCAAGAATTTCGTGTGTTAGCTCTGCGCGGCTTGCGGAAAGGCTGCACAGCTTCCGAGATCTGCTCAAAAGCTTGCGGGTGGCCTAGGAGCAGTCACGACCGCACTTTCTCTTGATCGCGACTCTGCGTGAGGATCAGATCTTTGTCAGAGGTCTAGTCGGTGGCGCGCTGGCAGCGGAGTTCGTCAACGTAGGTCGATGTAGCTGGGGCTGCAGTTCTCACCCGGCCGCGAGCTTGGCCTCACGCATGCTTGCAGCGGCTCTGATTCCGAAAAACCTAAAACCTTTTTGGGACCCTTTGTCAGCGTGGTCGGAGGCTGTTGAGCCACCCGGGCCTGTGCCAGCGAGGCGGTTGCGCTGTCTTTGGAGACTTTTTGGGTGTCCTGGCTGCAGGATCTCAGGCTCGGGGAGCGTCGGGAGCTTGAGAGTCGCTTTGTCCAAGCTTTCGCCATGAACGGAGTCTCAGGAACTTGCATGAAGCCAGGGAAAAATCCACGAACCTCCCCTCAACAGTCCTTTCTCTTCAAGCAGGGCTTGACCATCAGAATGTCTTCCTAATTGCCCTGCACCCTGTAGCCCGAACCGTAAACCCGGCAACTCCAGCCGGCCTCTGCGAGCCGGAGACAAAGAGCCACGCCGGAGGCCGCTTCGGACAAGGCCCGGGCAAGCGGCGCCCACCTGCTTCGGTGAAATCGCCGTGAGGGAGCGCGAAGCTCCGATCCAAGAGCAGGCATCCCATTAAAGCATTCAAAGCCTGCAGGCAGAAGCAAAAAAAAGAGAAGCGCCCGTAAGTTTTGCAGATGCGGAGCCGGCCAGCCTGAGCTCTTTTTGAGCTTTCTTTGCAGGCATCCGAGTCTTAGACTCAGTTGGCCTGACTGGTCGTTAACGCCTTCAGCCTTTGGAAGGCTCTTTCCAACTCCTGGTTGTTCTAGATGGCAATAGCAATCTAGAAAAATTCGGCTGTCCAGCGATTCCAGCCGAGAAGCGGCCCATCCATTCTCTCCCGAACCCCAAGGACACGGTTCGGCGAGCGGGAAAGAACAGAAGCATGAGCAATGTCTGGAAGCGAAGATGCTGTCAGTGACTCCCTGCATAGTCCTCTCACGCGGCCCCCCGCAGACCATGCTCGCGATTCCAGGACTGACAGCTCGCGTGGCTCACTGCGGCTGCGGGCACTTCCCAATTGCGATGCCGGGAGCTCGACGGAAGCACCGGACACCTCGCAGTGAGGTATCAGCTTGCGTTGGACCGGTGCATCCAGTCCTTTGAACACATGTTCCGGCATCGCACGCAACGTGGGTGGCTTGGCGATGTTGGCACACAAACCTCTGATTGGATCCTGCAGCTCCTTCTCCATGCAACTGTCCTGGTGCTCAACACTTGATGCACCTGGCTGCTGCACCCAAACCATTTCAGGAAGTGGGCAAGTGGACAGTGTCTCCCTGCATAGCGATCGCCGTATGGCTGCTGCGGGCCATGCCGGTGACTGTGGAACTAGCTGCCTCCGTGGCTGGCTGTAGCCACTTCCTTGATGCGGAGATGGGAGCTCAAGCGAGGGGCCTTGCATGCCCCAGTTGAGCTTCACCCTGAGTTGAACCCGAGCATCAGTTGCCTTAGGCACGAGTGTAGGCATCGCGGGCACCGTGGGTGTCGCGGTGATGCTCGCACAGAGTACTCTGCGCATTATTGGATCATGCGGGTCCGGCTCCATGCAGATGCTGTGGTGCTCAACACTTGATGCACCTGGCTGCTGCACCCAAACCATGTCAGGAAGGGGGCAAGCCGACCGTGTCTCTTTGCACGGCTTTCGCACGGCCTCTGCAGGCCACTGGGGCGACTCGGGGACCAACCACAGGCGGGGCTTGCTTGGCGAAGCTGCGACGTGCACAAACAGCGAGGTCAGGACCTGTCGCTGTGTCGGCCGCCTGCAGGGAGGCTCGAGCCTTGACATGCAGGGAGGTTCGCATCTGAGTATCGGGGGCAAGGGCCCTGGAGTCGGGTTCGGGGGTAGGTCTGCCTTCCGTCGCATCGTGCCTGGAGAGCAAGGCGTACTCAAGTGAAGTGGCAAGGACGGCAAGGGCAGCGAGTAGCGCAAGACGCGCCTGGCACAGCTATTGCAACCTCCCCGTGCTGACTCTGGCACCAGCTGGGTCCGCGGAAGGCTCCGCCAAGCCGGCAGGGGCGGGCCCGGGACCCAAGGGGCCGGCAGAGTGCGAAGCAATGTGCAATGACACCATGACAGCACGGGGACCTCCACGCTCGGCACGACGAACTGCTGAAGCTTCTTTTTGAGCCTCCTTTGCTGGCGCAAATCTCGCAAACACTGTACTCTTGCGTGAAAGGGTATGACTGCCTCTGTGGCTGAACAAGAACTGCATACCACGCATAGCGTCACGAGCAGCAAGCGATTGATGATAACCAAAAGCCAGTTCGGGAGGGAACAAGCTACCACTGTAAGGGCAGGGTTGGTCGTGGTTGTGATCGTGGCGGTTGTGGACGTGATCACTGTTGTGGTGAAAGTGAAGCTGCTGCTCGTGCTGCTGGTGCTGACACTGCTGCTGCTCGTGCTGCTAGTGCTGACGCTACTGGTGCTGACACTGTTTGCGCTGTTGCTTGTGCTTGTGCTGCTTGCAGTGGATGTGTAGGTGAGAGTCGAGCTGATCGTGGACGTAGAAGAAGTGCTCGTCAAAAGGGTCGATGCCGTACGTGTGGTCGAGGTCGTGGTCACCAGGAATCTCCAGAGGTCTCCGCAAAGGGTCCCGTTGTAGCCTGCGTAGATGTAGACAGCTTGGCCTCCCGCATCCCAGGCAGC